TTGAAAAGAAATTCTTTACTAAAGAACCTTTGAAGAAGCTTCCTTTTTAAGAGAGCACGACAGACATACTGGTATACAACAAAGAGAAGTGCACTACACATGAAAAGAGTACTTAATTTAAAAATGTTATATTTGAAGATAATTTTGATTATTGGGATATTGGGAGCACACAATAAAATTGGGAGATTACAATAAAAACTAGCTCAGCACTAAAAGAGCTCCATTAACTAAAAACAGTGGTGTTTGAATTGAATTTAAATGACAATAGAAACCAAAACGACCAAGCTGAACAAGATTTTCAGAAAAGACAGAAAAATGATGATGAATGTACGAAGCTGAAGTTTTTTTTTCGCCAGCAGCTTCTTAGTGGAATTTTCCGTTCCACCTTAAATGGTGCGGCAGTTACATTCCGGCGCCATCTGTACCATTGAACTGTGCGCTGATAACTAGCAGGATGGTCCCTCTCCTCTTTAGCGCCGAGGATGTGTGGCATCCATGATTTCCAAAAAGAATTTCAAATTTTGAATTGTCAGACCACAGAACACTTTTCCACTTCACCTCAGTCCATTTTAAATGAGCTCAGGCCCAGAGAAGGCGGCGGCGTTTCTGGATCCTGTTTATATCTGGTTTCTTCTTTGCGTTTTAGAGTTTTAATTAGCATTTGTGATGCAGTGATGAACTGTGTTCACAGACAGTCGTTTTCAGAAGTGTTTCTGAGCCCATGCAGTGATTTCCACTACAGAATCATGTCTGTTTTTTATGCAGTGCTGTCTGAGGGCCCAAAGATCACGGCCAGCAAATACTGGTTTTTGGCCTTGTCCCTCACATACAGAGATTTCTCCAGATTCTCTGAATCTTTTAATGATATTATGTACCGTAGATGATGAAAAACAAAAGTTCTTTGCTATTTTACGTAGAGAAACGTTATTCTTGAATTGTTGCACTGTTTGATGGTGCAGTCTTTCACAGAGTGGTGAACCCCTCCTCATCTTTACTTCTGAAAGACTCCGCCTCTCTGAGATGCTCTTTATACCCAATCATGTTTCTGACCTGTTGCCAATCAACCACCAGGTTTTTTTTTTTCAGCACTACACAACTTTATGCCTTTTTGTTCCCCCGTCCCAACATTTTTGGAAAGTGTTGGCATCAAATTCAAAATAAGCAAATATTTTTCAAAAACAATAAAATTTCTCAGTTTCAACATTTAATTTCTTGTCTTCTGGGGTCTTCAGCCTCTCTGAGATGCTCTTTTATACCCAATCATGTTACTGACCAGTTGTCAGTTAACCTAATTAGTCGTGAGATGTTCCATCAGTGGTGTTTTTAGCATTACACAACTTTACCAGTTTATTGTTGTCCCATCTAAACTTTTTGAAACATGTTGCTGGCATGAAATTCAAAACTGGCATATATTTTTCAAAACAATAATAAAGTTTCTCAGCTTAAACTTTTGATATGCTGTCTTTGCCTTATTTTCAATTAAATTAAGGGTTTAAATGATTTGCATTCTGGTTTTATTTATTATCTTTTTTGAAAACAGGGTTGTATATGGATTATAGTGTGAACCTGTTTTAAAATTCAAAATAATCTTAAAGTATTGCTTATTGATTTCGGTAGCAGCCACAACAAGGTGGGATCGGTACATCTCTATTAAAGATGGTCTTTTTGTGTGCTTTTGTGTGTAGGTGAACGTCCCCCCTCCTCCATGGCTCCCATGATCCTTCGCTCCACAAAAACAGATGACCTGATTATTATCGGAGCGTCAGGGGGCACCATGATCACCACCGGGGTGACCATGGTGAGTTTGGGTCCAGAAATGGGTTAATTACATTGATCTTAAAAGTTTAGAGAACTGAATGCTGTGGTGTATTTCTGATCAGTGATGATTTTCTTTACAAGTGGTTTCTGAAGTATTTTTCCAGCCTTGTTTTGAAGACATTATTCTGATATTGCAACCTATTCAGGCTCTCATGAACTACCTGTGGTTCGGAAACAGTCTGAAACACTCCATCGCTGAACCTGTTGTGTTTGTGGACAGCAAGAATAGGCTCAGCTTTGAGACCGACTTTGACGAGGTAAGAAAGCTGCAGACCTCGAGACACTCAGCTTCACAGACAGGTCTTGCATGCGAATGTTGATGACTTAATTCTCTCTCTTTCAGGAAGTCATAGAGGCCCTCAAAGACCGTAAAGACACAGTTAAATACAAAAAGTATTTCTATAATGTGGTCAACGCGATATCAAAGCGAGGAGGCACCATCTACGCTTATTCAGATAATCGGAAGGATGGCGAGGCTGCCGGCTACTGATCTGTTCCTCCTTTACCGCAGAAGATCACAGTACTTCAATTTTGGCATTTTTGAAAATGTTCTGTGTGGAAGTAAAATTGGCGTTTTGAAAAATAAAAGTTTTGCGGAATATAATTCTTTTTTTTAAGTTCTGATCAAGAAATCACAAGTAGAAGATTTGTAGAAATTCTTGTTTGTGTGTCTGAGATGGAAGGTTTTCTATAGGCGTTGATCTTTGGTTTTATTCAAGTGAATTTCCTAAATATTTAAATTTATATCTAAAATTATTTGCAATGTAATGATTTTGTGTAACATCCTGTCTACCAGAGGTGAGGACTTAAGTCACATGACTTGGACTTGAGTCACGTTTCCTGACGTAGGCACATACTATGGATTTAGTCGGTCATTCATTTGCAAATGAAATAAACTTGAATGTTGATGAACTACACTGCCAAATATACTGGTACTTTAACTTGCTCCCATTAAATAAATGTCTGACTAGGATCAACCACTCTAGTAGTAATGTTTCCTTCAACAGAAGCTGCAGCAACAAACCTAATAAATTATCCATACATGCCAATCAGGCATAACATTATGTCCTTGTTTCTACGCTCATTGTCCATTTTATCAGATCCACTTACTATATAGGTGCACTTCAGGTGGGAGAAATATGGTGAAATATATCGGTCATTTATTGGTCAGTGAAACATTATTCACAATGTAAACTTATTACATGTTTACTGTTTCTCTGGAAGAACCAGATTAACCTGATTAGAAAGAAAACAGATTTAGGTTAGAGTCTTTAGGATGTGAGACTGTTCAGCTGCTCAGATCTTTTAGAACAAAAACTCCTCTTCTTTCTGAACAGCACATATTGTAGTACTATTTGTATACTTAAAGGGGAATACCACTCATTTTTCAAAATGTATACATAATTCAGTGATTGAGACGTAAACAGAGCGATTCAGAGTGGTTTGGTGTGCAGTGGTTCAGACGTCTCTACAGTGGCGGTGATAGGAACCAGGGGTCGCCATGACTACAACACAAATATAGACATTTCATTTACTATCCAGAACCACCAGTGAACCTACACGAGTCTTCTGAGTTTATATGGAATGTTGATGATGGAAAATAGTGGAAAAGCTGAAATAATAAGTTTTCTTTGGGGACTATTTTGCCTCACAGCACCCTGCATGTATCCCTCCACCATGAATGGAGTTTAAGTTCTCAAAACTATCATAAAACAGTGTCTCAGTCATCAGGCAGTGAATTCATAACCATTTCATGTAGGAACTTTCTGTGAGGGAGCTTTTAGAGGTGGACATCTGGTTCCTATCACCACCACTGTGAATAGTTCTGACTGGGTAAGTTTATCTAGAACGGAGCGTTTCACACCAAACCAGTCTGAACGACTCTGTTCACATATTAATTATGAAGACATTTTGAAAAATTGGTGAAGTTGCCCTTTAGCACAATCAATTTCTTTTTTATATCTAGCCTTAGGGGATGTAGATTTTAGGCTCTGTTTCTGTGTGGAAGGATAGCTCTTCTTATTATTTAGAACTTGGATGAGAGGTTGAAGCAGAACTAAAGGGAAAAAAAACACCGTTGAGGGGAAACCATTTAGAAGATTGTCTGGTCAGCCAAGTGCTTGTACATCTAGGCCTTGAGGCCACCACACACTGGATGTGCTGTGCCACGTTGTGAAGCGTCCAAAAATTTGAAACCATTGTTTTCAATGAAGGTGCATAAACTGGCGCTGACATTTGGCGGCAACATGCAGCAGCGCTCACCAACTCCCAGCACTGCCCAATTTCTCAGCACACCACATAGTATTTTGCCATTACTGCATTAAATTGAAGCCATACTGGGACCACAGAATGCCGCAGTGGAACACATATGGCTTTAAATTTATACAGTCTTTTAGATAAACAGACGAATGATAACGTTGTGACCTCAGCGAACGTTACAGCCTCGTCTTTTTCCACCTCGTATCTTTTCAGGGAGTCTGTAAAGAAGCTCATACCAAACGAGATACATGATAGAAACGTAGGACATTTTATTTCATCAAATTTATACGAGCAAAGTGTGAAACTGAACTTGAACGTGGCGTTTTGTGTAAGTTGACCAGATTCCTGAAATGAAAACTGGGAACATTTCCAGTTTGGTGGTCAAAATATCATTAATATATCATTAACATATCCAATGTTTTCATCTATGAATGAAAAAAATAGGGACAGTTCCAGTTTCATGTACTTTGACCATGCTAACTGCTGTATTGTAATAACTATGGTGAAGGCCAGCTGATAAAAAAGGCAGGAAGGCAAGGATTCAAACCTTGTTCTGCCTGTAGGACGATGGTGTTATCCATGTTGAGCTGTTAAACACAAAAAGCCATAAAGTGACCATGGTTTTAATGAGCAGGTTCTACCATGATCACTAGAGTTCTCACCACTGTGTCTGGTTACGAGCGTGAGATGATGGCCTCATAAACACCAGTGAGCTTCTTTACCTGAGAAGATTGCAGTATGTATATGAGTATATGTATCACACACTCAGTGATAAACCTTACACTAAGGCCTCGGGTGGTGCTGGAGGGTTAAGCCCTGTCAGAAAGACTGACATTATGCTATATGATCTATATCAGGACATGAGGGGCAGAGCATGTGGCTGTCGAAGCGCTGGGCATAATTGCAGTGGGCTGAGGGAGAGTTGAACATGGTGTGAGAGGCCTATTAGAGTTCTGCTGCTACTACTTTTGGTTGAATCGTTCATAAACATTAAGTGCTGGAAACAAGTTTTTATTTCTAGCAGAGATGCATACGCTTCAATGTGATTAATATTAATATTAGTCTTGCTCAAAAACTTTTATTTAACAAACGCAAAATGCATTAGCTCGTGGCATGCTCCTGCCTACATAATCTCCTCATAAATAAAATATTACATCAAAATATTGCAATATTACATTACATAAAATAAATATTACATAATTCAGTCCTTCAGTTTATGTGAAAATACAACTTCTACCTTTTAGTCAATTTAAAACTGGCTGATGAGGGTTGTAGGTGTTTTTCTATGTAACTCAAGGCTTGTTTCATTTATTTTGATCATTCTCATAGTTTTAGAACTATATTATTGTACTGTATTTTAAGTATGTTTTTACAGGACCCCATTACAAACGAGACCTTGTTCTCAGTGGGCTTACCTGCTAGTACTAATAATAGATAATAATTATAATAATAATAATATGTACTTTTGGCAGTAAATGTGTTGATGTAATATATTTTATTCAAGTGGAAAGGATGCAATGATTGAGTTAAGTCAATTCAAAGCATCACTTTTTTTGCAGTGTGGTGGGTTTTGGTTGGGGGGAGTCAAGTCTGCCGACCGATGTGACTGTGACAGGAGGAAGGGGAGGTGTTTGTTTAACTGCCTTCGCACCCACATTCACTGCATGACTTTCTTGGTGCAAGATTTGGTTTATTGACTCTGCTTCCTGCAGTAATGGCTGGAAGAAAAAAGGTATGCTGCGGCATCTTCGTCATTATTTTGATAATAACTGTTACAGTCATAGGTGTCTATTATGGGATAGACAAGTGTCCTAGTGGAAGTTTCAGGAAAGCTGCAGTTGCTGCTGACTCAGGAAACATGCTCAGAAGTTGGACGGTGAGTGTTTTAAGCCAAATAATTGCTCTTTATGATTTCTGCATGAATGCAAAGCACAATTACAGCTTATTTATAGTGCACTGAAAGAAACAGTTTGGAATGTTCACCAAACAAATTTAGCAAGTGTAATACTGCACTATAGAACACTGCACTGCATAACAAATACCAAATAAATGCTAGTTTTAAGTCAGAATGCTCCTTTAAAAAATAAACCACTTTTTACAGTGTGTAAAAATGGTAAACATGTCTCTAATAGTCCAAATGTTTAGTTTTGTCATAAAGAGTTTCGTATCTAGTTAGCAGCTGTGTGTTTTGGTGGTGCAGTCAGCTGTTTTGATTTCGGTTTCTCAGAGACATCCTGATGGAAGGCGGTTCAGCGGCCGATGCTGCAATAGCTGCTCTGCTATGCACATCACTCGTAAACCCGCAGAGCATGGGCATTGGAGGAGGAGCCATATTCACCATAATGGACAAAAACGGTAAGCAGAAATGAGACATGCAGTAAAAAACCCCAGAGACCACCCTTTTTATTTATTTATATACTTTATAGAAGTCAGAAGCAATTAAGTACAAGTTATTCTTTTTCAGTTTCAAATAAAAAGCAGGCAACATACACTACTGCTCAAAAGTTTGGGGTCACTTGTCATAATAATTACTGTTATTCAGTAATAATTCATACAGTGTAGATTGAAATGCTATAAACTAAACACCAAAACTAAAACCAACACTTTATTCACAGTTTACAGAATTTTGGGAACAACACAAAGTTAGAAGATGGTAAAAAATTGAAGTGTTATTAAATAATAAGCTATAATTTTTTGTTTATTCACTAAAACTCTCTGAATATCCATTTAATTAGTGAGTTTTTGATGATCAGTTTTCAGATATGAGTCATTGTGGGTGTCAGTTTCTTTATCAGTTCATTCTCAGATCTCAGATTAATCAATGGAAATCACTTACAGCTCCGATTATCATCAAAACATCTTCATTTATACAGCTTCATACAAACTGACTGACACTCGTAAGAAATGACATCAATCATAGAATAATTTTATACTCACATCTTCAAAGAAACTGGTTTATATGACTGAAATCAGTGACCCCAAACTTTTGAGCGGTAGTGTAAGTTCAGAGCATCACTGTAGTAGACCAATGTTAACTTTGACATGTCTTAATCACCGTTTCATAATAAAAGTCTGATCAAATAATGTTCACTTTCATTTTTAGGTACAGTGAAAGTAATCAACACCAGAGAAACTGTTCCAAAGAACTTCAAAGGAGTTCTCTCCACCTGCTCATATGACAGTACAGGTAGGGCACAGGCACAACAGCAGGTAAAACGTCTGGTCACTCAGCACTGATGCTGATATCCAATATTTACCTATCTGTGAATGCTAATGTTGATAAACGTGTATAAAATGTAGAAATTGGGATGAAATCTACCTGGATTTGCACTACAGAGGAATAAAACACTAATTTCTGTAGAGTTACAAATACAGATGTTTCAGTGCTGTAACTCCTAAACACTCTGCTCTTCTGGAGGTCAATAAACACATCATCACATATCCAATGCTGATTTTTTTAACATTTATCTGTTGATAATGAGGCTGATATCAGGTGCATCAGAACAAGAAAAAAGCATCAGCACAATTCATTTATTTAATGTTACATATTTTTAGTTGGGAAATCAAACTATTTTTTTCTATGTTATAAATAAAGCAGTCATCACTATTGAATGTGCTTCCCTTGCATCTTAATGGAAATATACTGCATTATTAATAGTTTTATTCAAAAAATGAGAGTATAGAGGAATACACTAAAGGCCAGTTTCAACAAACAATATGACGTAATTGCAGAAAAAAACAATGTGCTGTGCACCTGGACCACTGTAGTTGTGGTCATTCTGTAGTCCTTGTTATGCACATATTAGGAACTCCGGGTCTGAGCTCCATTTCTCTATGGCCAGAATGAATAGGGTTTTTGAAAAATCACCTCTATCGCCCCCTGTGTTCAATAAAAAAGTTCAGAACTTCAGAAACGTTTTGTACTGTGTACGTTTTTCTCGAAAGAGTTGAGTTACTAGTATCGCTACATGCAAGCTAATGCTGCTGCACGTTAGCAACTATCACTAAGCTACATGAAAGTAAGGCTTGTAAAAATGTCCTATTGTAGCAGATATTTATATGTAGTCCCATACATAAAACCTCTAAGTAGGATATTTTGAAAGCTTAAATCACCTTATCGAAAAAAGTATACAACCAGCATTAAAACTACAAAGCTGAAGTCAGCCGTTTATTGGCCATTTTCCTGTTTCACCTTAACCCTTTAATGATCTGCTCAACCATTTGGTAGAGCACATTTTGAGTCACTACATATGCCACAAAGTGCCATCTTGACCGTTGGGTAGATGCGAATATTTTAAAAATTGCGGGGTCAAAAAAAAATAAATAAAAAAATTTTTTATTATTGCCCCAAACAAACAAAAAATACAAAAAAATTGCTTTTTTGCATTGCACTGCTTTTTTCTTGGTGAGGACTTTAAAGGATTAAGCGGCACAGCAGCTATTGTGATGCTTCAGGTGCCAGCATGTAACTGCTGGACGGAAGGTCAAAATTCTAAGCTGGCCAATATACTTATTAGAAAGTGTTACCAGCATTAAAAGAATAATTACGGTATGCCTGTGATTGGTCGGTTTCGATAGAGGCGAACCATGAAACAAAGATTTCTCCTTCTCTTTGTAAAAACAGAGCAGCAAAGAGTTCTTTATCCTCTTCTTCTTCTAGCATTTCTTTATAAGCTTCCAGTAACACGCCTGTTACCATGGCTAGAACTGTGATCGAATTTTCCAGTCGTCATGGAATCATAAAATGTCATAGCATCACCTGCAGTAGTGGAGCATGTGCGTACACTACCGCTCAAAGGTTTGGGTTCACCTGTCATTATAATAACTGTTATTCAGTAACATATACATACTATACAGAATGAAATGCTATAAACTAAACACCAAAACTTAAACCAACACGTTATTCACAGTTTACAGTGTTTTGGGAACAACATAAAGTTAGGACATGGTAAAAACAATGGAAGTGTTAAAATTATAGTTCCTTAACGAGCAGCTTGTTGCTACGTCAGAGTAACGAGCTCCGCCCACTCGCTGCACAGCCGGCAGTTCGTTCTACAGTTCCACACAGACCAACTGACAGTTTGGGAATTTAGTGTCGTCTCATCTTCAGAGTCTGACCAAATCGGCTGTCGGTCAAATGTGATCTTAAGTGTCCGTTTTCTGTTTGTGGCAAAGTAAGAAGAAAAAACGTTCAAATGTCTTGAGCGTCTCCTACAGCTGTCAAAGTCGTTGCTTAGCAACGCCGTCTCAGCGGAGTGATACAGTGTTTGTGAAAAACCCGTGATGTTATGGTGAAATAACAGCACAGTTAGCACGCTTCTCAACCAATCAGCTCGCGTGGCCGGAACTCACTGTGGTATAAAAAAATAATAAGCTACAGTTTTCTATTTATTGGAATCTGTGGTCAGAAACAATTCACTAAAACACTCTGAATATCTGCTTAATTAGCAAGTTTTTGTTATGGTTTTAAATATAAAGCATGATGTCAGTTTGTTTATCAGTTCATTCTCAGTACTGTACAGATTTATCGATTATCATGAAATCACTTACAGCTCCATTCATCATCCAAAACATCTTCATTTTTACAGCAAACTTAAACTTCTAAGAAATTACTTTTATAGTGTAATCATTTTATACACGTATCTTCAAATAAAGTAGGTTTAAGTGAACGAAAGACTTTTAAGTGGTAGTGTACGAGACAGGCAAAATGAAACTGCAGAAAGGACTCAAACTTGAAAGCTCAGTGAATGTGCAGAACACCTAACAGACTCACACAGACAAACACCCGCTTACAGACAGAAAACAGGAAGTGATTGTCTAAACCACTTTTCCCACATGCAGGCCTCACCCTGATGCAGCTGTTCAGTTGAACTCTTATATATATGCACATAACACCCTAACAGTCACTAGAGATATCATAGCAACACCCTAGCAACCACACAAGATACAACAGCAACCACCTACAAACACCTTAGAAAAACTCTAAGAAAAACTATGAAAGACCTAACAACACCATATAGACCACCCAAAACACCACAATAATCACATAGCAACATCCTAGCAACGACCTGGAACAGCACATGAACCACTTAGCAACACTTTAGCAGCCAACCTAGTAACACCATAGCAACCACCTGGCAATGCCCTAGCAACAACCTAGAAACCACGTAACATTGTCATGGCAACCATTTGGAATTTTGTAAGAACTGTATATCCACACTACACCAACTATGTGGAATACCAAGGTCTCTGTTTACATTGAAAAAACCCCCACAATTCATCCATTAAGCTTCAGATAACCCATAAACTTAAAAATGAACACAAACCCCTCTAAGCATTAGCTTCAAACAGTCATTACTATACAAACCCACACAAGTTTAACAACAATTACAAAGCCATTTACAGCTTTAACTTGTGTTATCAGCTGGCTTTGTCGAGCCAACTTACAGTCTGTTCGCAAATCTTCCCTTTCTAGTGTAATTGAGTTTAATCCTATTTTAAAGCATTTTTTAAAACAAATAATTCTATTAATTCCATTTTTAAATTCTATTTTTAAGTTTAATTCTGTTTTTAAAGCAATGTGCAACTCTATTGCTGTTCTATTTATTATTTTCTTCTTCTTCTTCTTTTTCTTCTTCTGCTGGATTATTGTCCTCTAACTCGTTTTGCAGTTTTTGAGATATGAACACCATTTCAACTCCTGAATGTTTGGCGTGATCAACAAATGTGAGCTTGTATACACCTTTTTGATTGGACATAAGTTTTTTCAAGTCAATCATTGTTAATTAATGATTTTTCTTCCATAAGAATGAATGGGAACAAGTATTTGTGCACCCAGCTTATATCACAATGATACAAGTCAATTGCAAAACACTTTCAACCATGTGGGATATCATACCACCTAGCAACCCCCTAGCAACCACCTGGGATACCATAGCGCTCACCTAGCAACAAACTAGAATACCATAGCATCAACCTAGCAACCCCAGAGCAACCTTCTGGATATCATTCCAACCACCTAGTAACACCCTAGAAACTACTTAGCTTCACCATAGCAACCACCTAGCAACACCCTAGCAACCACAGCAACCTCCTAATATCATCCACCCTAGCAGCCACCTGGGACACCATAGCAACTGCCTAGCAACATTCCGGCAACCATCAGGACTATCATAGCAACCACCTAGCAACATCCTAGGAACCCCCTAAAACACCATAGTAACCACATGGCAACACCACAGCAACCATCTGGAAATTGTTTAAGCTGCACAATCACTCTGCACTGTTCTAGTTTGATATTTGCCGGTCTATGCATGTGTAGCAGACTCGAAACAGTAGTTGAGACCAGGCACGCACACCCAGGAAGTGGAGATCGGAAGGTTTATTCCTGAACGAAAGTAGCATGGGGCAGTAGTGAGCTCATGCAGCCAGAACAGCTCTCTCACACTCCCCGCACAAGCATCCACTATGCTTCTCTTCGTGTACACAAACGTGTAATACATTTGTACAATATATGAAACAAAATGAGGTAGATTCACTTACGATTTAAACACAGTCTAGGATGAATTTCAATTTACATGTTTAAAGTATTGCAGATAATCATTTCAGCTACTCTTAACTGTGCAGCTTGGTTTCAGCACAAGTGCTGTATACAATAAGGCCACCAGATGGCGCTCGGGAAACATAGAGCAAAAAAACGACATTAGTACAACTTAAAAATGCACTGTGACCGTATAGCGTCTTAACTAACATATTAGAACCAAACAGACCTCAAAACATTTCATTTAAAACCATTTACAAACACACAAGACATGGACATGCCTGAATGAGAGTAGCATGGGGCACTAGTGAGCTCATGCAGCCAGAACTGCTCTCTCCCGCCCCCTGTTGATAGCCAAAACGTGACTGAGCTAAACATCATCAAAGCTCCATTCAAATTCAGCCTAAAATCACCACACAGCGTTTCAACACATTCTGTCTCTCTAAGATCTACATTCTATGTGCCGTTTAAACAGCATTCATGGTTTTTATAGGTTTATTAAGACATTTTAGGAAGAGAGCTGTTCAGTACGTCTCACCCGCACAAGCATCCACTGTGCTTCTAACAAACCGGGTAAAACCGCTGCGTGGGTTTCCCCTGGGTGTCACAGTAATTGAGGCCCCAGCTACAACACATGGGAGGAACCAAAAACTGTAAGAGAAAATGTCTAGCTATTTAACTATTAACTTTTCATTACACAAAAGACATCAATTAGAAAACCAAAATGAAGTTCACATTACAAATATTCCTAACATTATTACAGCAAAACAAATAAAACAGGGAAAAGTACATAATAAAAAAAGTAATAATACCTCAGCTACACATGTCATGTTTGGAATAATACACTGTTGCATGCAAGTATTTACACTGATTTACCTTTTTGAATTCCAGCACAACACATATCACCTCATCAGTGTCACGGCAGAGCTGAAAATGCACCACCACGCAAATGATACCTGCTCTGTGGTGGTGTGAAGGATAATGAAATAACAAGCTTGAGACAACACAGAAAACAGTTCTCTCCACCAATTAAACCCCACTGCATGATTTAAATAGAGTTTGTGGAAAAATGACACTGAGAATGCATATTGCGAGCTCATCACAGCACATTCCCATACGCATACGTCTGATCCAGAAAGTCTAAACAGTGTTATTCTGATGGTAAACTTTTCAGCTTGTGTTCAAGGCTCATGCATTTGTCCAGTCTGCTGTAATTGTCTACAGACACTTCTCTGAGAACCTAAATAAGAAGCAAACGCACTCCTGGTTTTGAAAAGCAGAGCAAATCAACACAAAACTGGCTGCCACTGTTCAAACTTCAGTAGGTCATGCAGAATATATAATCAGCTGCACTTCTAAAATCTTTTGGAAGTGCGGCTTTTTAACCCATAAACTAGATATCAAAGCAACACCCTAGAAACCAAAAATATGACAGCAACTGCCTAGCAACACCTTAGAAACAATCTAAGAACCACCTAAAACACTATGGCTACAAACAACCTGAAACACTATGGCAACTAGATAGCAACACCCAAGCAATGACTTGGAATAGCATATGAACCACTTAGCAACACCCTAGCAACTACCTAGTAACACCCTAGCAATCACCTGAAACACTACCAACCACCTAGTAACACCCTAGGGACAACCTTGGATAGCAACCACTTAGCAACACTAGAAATCACCAAAAAACCTGTCTAAAACTACCTGGCAGGGCCAACAACCTAGAAACCGCGTACCATTACCATAGCAAACATTTGTATTTGTTCCCAACGCAAGGGCAGGATGTGTCTGATCTGCACCTGAAGGCTGTGAAAAGGCTAACTGGTTGTTACTGTGTGGTGCTGTGTGCTGACTGCATTTCAGGAAAGCTTGTGTTCCACTGCATTTCAATTTGGCACAAACTCCCCTTCATAAAGATCAAAAACCTCATCAATAAAAAACCAAATCTGTCATTTATCCCCATCTCTACACTGAATCCTGCCTGAGTGATTTACTGTGAGCTTTATTTCTACACAAACAAACCTCACACTTACAGCCCATTCGCACTTCAGCGTCACAGACACAGTGTGGAGGTGTGGGCAATAAAAAGCTGAGAGACCATCAGCTACACTGTGGTTTAACGGACGCTTCGTTTCGGGTAATAAAAAACCCTGAGAGGTGAGCAGTTACACTACGGTTGAACATACATTTCCTGACCACTTCTCCTTTTCTCTGTCTCCCTGTTCTTGCTCTCTGTCTGTTGTCCATCCCTTTCTCTGTCTCTCTCTCTCTCTCTGTGTGTGTGTTGTCTCTTACTCTCTCTCTCTCTCTCTCTCTCTGTAGGTAGTAAGTGGATCGGTGTGCCTGGTCAGATCCGTGGTTATGAGCGTGTTCACAGGCTGTATGGTCGTCTGCCCTGGTCCAGTCTGTTCCAGCCCACCATCCGCAAGGCCAGAGAGGGGGTCAAAATCTCTGAAATAGTGGCACGTTATCTCCCCATCGCCGAAAGGCAAAGTACACGGTATTTAGGCAGATTTATTTAAAAAAATGTAATAAAAAATGTATTAAATCTGTTACCTGCTAACAGCTAGCTTATGCATTATTTCAGGCAGAGCCCCCCATCTCCACCACCCTCCGGGGGGGTCTGGGGAAATCTCCCCCAGCACAGTTTGGCACTTATCAGAGTTCCCAGAAGAGCAAACCCAGAGAACAAATGCTGTAGAATCACATAACCTACAATAAACATGTTGAACACGCTACAGTATAGTACAGTTTTTCTCTAATGCTGAAAGACAAATTATTGTTAAAGCTAAATCATAATCATCAATGCTTTGATTAAACACCAGGAGCTGGTGGAGCAAGCAAAGTTTATTTATATAGCGCTTTTTACAACAGGTGTTGTCACAAAGCAGCTTTACAAGGAAATCAGCATTACAGAAAGAAATCCGGGTCCGAGCCCCCATGAGCGTCGCCAGTGGCGACAGTGGCAAGAAAAAAACAAAAAAGAGAAACAGGAAGAAACCTTGAGAGGAACCAAGACTCAGAAGGGGAACCCATCCTCCTCTGGTCAACACTGGATAGTAAACATTGTTAGTATAAGGTATTGTAGTACAAAATGGGGAAAACAGGTGGAGCAATGATTAATTAGATTAGTTTAGTTCATGCAGCAGCAGCAGCATCAGTGGGGTCAGGTCATGAGGGTGAGGTTTGCATGGCGAGCAGTGGCACCTGATCAAGACAGAAGAGGCAGCAGCATCAGATGCACAGGATGGGCAGCTGTTTCAACTCGGCAAAGGAAAGAAAGCAAAACACACAGAGAGTCAGTTCTGTAATGGGTGTCAGTTCTGTAATGGGTGGCTGATCACAGATTACAGTGTTAGCAGAGCAGCAGAGACGCCGTCAGGTCTGGATCTGACAGGGAAAACTAATTACCAAAGGCTCGACTATACAAGTAAGTTTTTAGCCTAGACTTAAAGACTGAGACTGAGTCTGAGTCCCGAACATTAACAGGAAGATTATTCCAAAGCCGGGGGGCTTTGTATGAGAAGGCTCTCCCCCCTAACGTAACTTAATTAATTCTAGGTACTAATAGTGAGCAGCACCTTGTGATCTAAGTAGGCGTGATGGTTCATAGTGAGAGAGAAGTTCACTCAGGTACAGAGGGGCGAGTCCATTTAGAGCTTTATAGGTCAGTAAGAGAATTTTATAATCAATGCGAAATTTAACTGGTAACCTGTGTAGGGTTGATAGTCTGGAAAATGGAACAAAATCCGAAAGTTTAAAAGCATCACTGACTCTGTTCATAACATAAGGGGTCTAGATGCCTCCTGAAAGTCAACGGCACTTTCACTGAAAACTGACGTTAACTAGCAGGAATCCAAACAAGCTTTCCAACGCTTGTCAAAACAACAGAACAACTATTGCATCAGAAATACTAAGCGACCTCTTTCACTGCGTTCAGTGTGCAATTACTTTTACATTAGACGTGTTTATGTTTGGATACCAAGCTTGGAATGAATGGCTGACTAACTAACTAACTAGCTGATCGTCTGTCATTACGCTGCCTTGTATTCGTGCTAAACTATAGTGGACATTTTAAACCGATTGAAATTTTCAGCATTCAGTGTGCAAAACATTGCATAATATTAATTACAGTGAGCAGATCACAGATCCAAACATTTACATTTACAGCATTTAGCAGACGCTCTTATCCAGAGCGACTTACAAGCAGTGCTTTGTCTATCTAGAGAAAGTATCTTTGCTAACCAAATACCAACTAACCAAAGTTCGAAGAGCATTAGAAAGCAAAACTCCACTAATATTACTGATTGTGGAGTTTTTGGCTGCCTTCACGTTTCAAACACACTATGTTGGACCAGATTTGCTAAATTGAAAAATAAATAAAATTAAAAATAAACGACTTAGTAAATTAATATATGAAGTAGAATTGCAAAGAATAATGATGGTAAATCTAAAAAAATAAAAATACATAACAATTAATAAATTAATAAATAAATTCTTATATAAATTAATATGTCTGCATTTATTTATGTCTATTTAGTAATTTCCCCTTCTCACTAATTTTTGTATTTATTTTTTTGTTACTTATATTTGTTTATTAACATTGTTTCTATTTTTCTATTCATTTATTTCCATAACTATTAATTTCTATATTTATTTATTTCTCTATTTATTTGTTTCTGTATTTCCTTGTCCTTATGCTAATACAGGGGCTGTCAGTCAATGATGTCACAGCATCTTAATATTGCTATTGGTTGATCAATATCAGATTATGTAGATCGATTGTTCATGTCTTGCTCTATCAGGCAGGACCAGGCAGTGCAGTAACGGCTTCTTACAGCAGCAGACAGTCAGAGATCTGAGAGTCTCGGCTGATCTGGCTGAAAATGCAGGTCCGGATTATTGACTCTTCCATTGGAGGCTGGTTCAGAGGTCGACCCCTAGTGTTCAGAGCTTTGGAGGAGGCGGTTCATCGCCTTTTTCTGCAAAAAATTCAGATCACTCAAACATTCGGACGCTCGTCTCACATACGGCCTATGGAAGCCATCGAGAGTTATTCATCAGCAGGTCTGTCTGTCGGTGGCACTGCAGCTCTTTATGGAGTGAAAGAACAGTTTAATCAGCTCTTCTCCTCCTGGGCTTGATTGCTGAGCCTGAACGTGAAAAACACGCCCCCTCATTATCATATGAGCGATGAAATACAGAAATAAATAAATGAATTAATGAAAAAATAAATAAACGAATGAATGAATGAAAAAATAAATAAATAAATGAATGCATGAATCAATGAATAAAGCGAACAATTGTTAAAAACATAGATACAAAAAATATATAAAAATGGCATTAATAAAAACAATAAATAATACAGAAATAAATCGAGAAATATATAACTGCAGAAAAAGGAAATGTGTATAATTGCAATCACAATAAGCAATATATACTTTATTTAGATTTTTAATTTATTGATTAATTTACTGAGCCATTTATTTTTTCATTTTATTTATTTTTCAATTTGGCAAATCTGGTCCTCCATAGCATACTGACAGTCATTACCATGGAGACTGGGTGGGCAGAGCCTGCTGCAGCATGACTTCCCATTGGCTGAAGGTGGTGTAGGTCGAACTTGAGGTGCCTTTAATAGACACTTTGCCTGATACTCACACTTTAGAACACAGTAAAACAGAGTAAAACTGCTCTGCAAGGTTTCCCTATACCTAGGTTTATGAGATCTGAGCCGGAACACCGTTCTGTCTCTACTATTAATTCTGGAACAGGGTTCCAGTGTGTTCCAGCCCATTTCCAGCCGCTGTGGAAATCACTGTGGGTTTCTCCTCTTTCTCAGGCAGCTGTTCGTGGACGCAGAGGGGAACATGCTGAAGGAAGGAGACACTGTGAAGTATGAGAAACTTGCAGACACCCTGGAGAAGATAGCAGAGCGTGGAGCAGAGGAGTTCTACACAGGAGAAACAGCCAGAGACCTGATCAGTGACATACAGGAAGCAGGTAATAAAACATTTATAAACATAAATAAATAAAACAATAACAAGTTATTGATATAACAGTAAGGCAATAACAATTAAGCAGTAGAACCCAGAGGGAGTGTGTTATAGTGAAATAACATCAGGGCTGTGATTTGGTCGCCGTAGATCATCACAGCCGTGATGTTATTGGCGATAACACACTCCTCGAGTGTTCTACTGCTTTAATACAACAGTTAAATAAATAAAGTAATAAATTAATAAACTGGGCCGTGAACGCGGCGTTTAATATGTTTTAATGTTCGCAGTTCCTTCACCAAATTATAGTTCCTTAACGAGCAGCTTGTTGCTATGTCAGAGTAACGAGCTCCGCCCACTCGCTGCACAGCCGGCAGTTTGATCTCCAGCTCCACACAGACCAACTGACAGTTTGGGAATTTAGTGTCGTCTCATCTTCAGAGTCTGACCAAATCGGCTGTCGGTATCTCAGTGGAGTGATAGTGTTTGTGAAAAACCCGTGATGTTATGGTGAAATAACAGCACAGTTAGGACGCTTTTCAACCAATCAGCTCGCGTTTCCCGGAAGTAACTGTTGTATAATATCTAATAATGTACATCAACAATTCTTCATTTGTATTTTGAAACAAGTTCATTACTGCCAGGAGCCACTACAGGCCCCAAGTAGGTATGTAGTTAGCCAATGAGCTGCAAGCTACCTAAATCAATTATAATATCATGGATATTTACCTCCCCCTGCAGAAGACATGGATCCCGTTTTGATGTAGACAGAGAGGGATGTGAACCACAGCAACCTGCCAAAGGTTTTAAGTCGACCTTCTGTATAGCTGCATCACTCTCTTTAATTTCAAATCAGCAGCCAGTTTGTAGTGAAATATTTCTCCAGCTCTGACTGTGACATCTGCGTTTCAAAACCTCATATTCAGCCCCATGCTGTGCTACATTGGTGCCGAAACCCAGGAGGACATGTTACGTTTTTATTCACACATAAACCAAAAGGAACGACAGATTTCTCAGAATGTAGTGGAGTAAAAAGTCAGATATTTGACTTTGAAATGTAGAGGAGTGAAAGGAAAAAGTTGTCCAAAATTTAAATACTTCAGTAAAGTACAGATACACAAAAAACTACTTAAGTACAGTAATGAATTTACTTAGTCACTGTCCACCACTGACCAATTCACATTCAGTTTAATTCAACATGAAAAAGTCCATCAGCAGCCTGTGCAAGTACGTGTCAGGGGTCTGCGAGCTCTTGTGTGTGTGTACATTATCTGATGTGTGGTGTGTTTAAGGTGGTACTCTCACTCTGGAGGATCTGCGCTCAGTTGAGGTGACTGAGTTGGAGCCCTGGAATGTGTCACTGGGCAATTACACCATGTACTTCCCCCCTCCACCTTCAGGGGCAGCGTTGGTCAGTTTCATCCTCAGTGTTATGGAAGGTGAGATAAATTATTACTTAATGATTTTCTGTAGATATTTTACAGATATTTTGTTGCCAGTTTCAGCTGACCCAGCGTTCCTCAGTTAAGTGGACTGTATCTCATTAATGTATTGTACACTGTTATCATAATTTTTCTCTTTAAGTACACTTGTGTGTCATTTAACGTGTCGTTTAGTCATTTTACTCACTAAGCACTTCAGTCCACCTCCTTGTTTCTACGCTCATTGTCCATTTTATCAGCTCCACTTACTATATAGGTGCACTTTGTAGTTCTACAGTTACAGACTGTAGTCCATCTGTTTCTCTGATACTTTGTTAGCCCCCTTTTACCCTGTTCTTCAGTGGTCAGGACCCCCATGGACCCTCACAGAGCAGGTACTATTTGGGTGGTGGATCATTCTCAGCACTGCAGTAACACTGACGTGGTGGTGGTGTGTTAGTGTGTGTTGTGCTGGTCTGAGTGGATCAGACACAGCAGAGCTGCTGGAGTTTTGTTTTTATTATAAACAGTGATATTTATGGCACTGTCAGTTAATAGTTTACATTTATTTGTAATATCAATGTAGACCATAAAAGGCTTTCTATTTCCAAAAGTGAAGAATGAACAGAACTACAGGGTTAAAACTTCACCAGCGTGTTGAACTGTGGGATATACAATCCTGGGCAAAAAAAAATGGGCAGAGCCCAAAATATCATGTTTGTTACTGATGGTTTTGGCTGGTCAGAGTCCAGATTTAAACCCTATAGTGAATATTTGGTCTCACATCAAACACAAACCAGCTCTGCAATGTTTTCAGCTGTTTGAAGCCGTCAGTGCTGAGAGAATCATACTGACTCTTCTTTCTGTAAAAAACTGTTTATTTGAAGAAATCTGAGTGAAACGCTCTCTTATATTAACTTACTTTATCTATTTGTTTAATGATTAGTTGTTGAGATGATTAAAAGCTTAATGTTTTGAAATTTTGGGCTTATTTGACTGTTGTTTTTGTGCCCAGGAGTGTACTAGCACTGCTTTAATACAGTATTATAGTGGGAAAAGAGTGTGTATAGTGTGATCTTGCACACAGTGTTTTTGCATATTTCTGAAATGGAACAAACACAAGAACCCAAACCGAAAGTATGGACTTCTGAACAGGCTGATAGAGATGTGTTCTGTGTGTTCTCCAGGCTATAAACCAACACCAGCCTCTCTAGAAGGAAAAGAGCGTGTGCTGACCTACCATCGCTACGTAGAGGCCTGTAAGTTTGCTGAAGGACTGAGGAAGTTCATGAGAGACCCCAGATTCAATGACATAACGGTGGGTTCTGCTAGAACTTTTGAGAGCAAAACAATTTGTCAGTGTGTTTGTCTGTGGTTGACTCAGGACGTTTATCTGCACCTGTATCTGTAGTGAAGTAATGACAGCACTATTCCGCTCCGTTATTACTTCAGGCAGCAGAATATACAAAATTAATTAAGTAAATCATTAATTTATCAAAAGGTCATGATGGCATTTTCAGACAGTTACAGTCAGAAAGCCTCTCCTAAGAGACTAATCCACAAACACAACTCTTTATTTACTGGAAGTGGAAGTAAACGTAACAAAAAAGTTCTTTTAACTGATTAAAATCAGAGTAATTGGTGAGCAGAACCACAGAATCATGATTCAAGCAGCAACCACAAAGTCCAGCAAAATCTCCCCAAGCAGGTGGTACTGGCCCTGTGGGCTCTAATCCAGGGGCCTCAGTTATAAAACATTATGCGGATCCCAGACTGAAAATGTGCACATGTGCAACAAAGACGTTCACAAGTTGCCTCAAGCAAGTCCTGAGACGAGTCTCAAGTGTGGGAGTCCAAGGTAAGTCTCGAGTCTATGAAGTGTGAGTCTGAGTGTTGAGTCTCTGAGGTGTGAGCCGTTGAGGTACAAGTAGAGTCCCGAGTCACTGAAGTGAGAGTCAGAGGTCAGTGCAAATGACTTCATTAATACAATGAGATCTTGGAGATGCGGGAAACATTGGCTTTGGCTGAATGCTCTTTATTGAACACTGCCGGAGAACTGCCGTCCAGCGCTACTGAAATGGCCGAGATAGCAGGCAGGGCACTTCTAGCCTTACAATTCAACTTGAGGGTACGCACAGACACTGCACTTCCACCCCACAGCTCAGCAAATAACACAAGTAACACATACCACACTACCAAACCAAGATCAAGAACTATTTACAAGATTTAAAGTCAATCGATTAACCGAGTTCCGGTCCGGTGGAGAGCATCTTGAGCAGCTGCATCATCGCCTGGTTTGGGAATTGCGCCTCCGACTCTGACTGCAAGACTCTCTGTCCCCTCCATCATGGACATCTACACCACACGCTGCATCCGCAAAGCCACCAGCATTGTGAACGACCCCATCCATCGCCCATACTGACTTTTTTCACCGCTGCCGTCTGGCAGAAGGTACCGGAGCATCCGTGCCATCACTGCCAGACTCTGCTACAGCTTTGTTCCTCAAGTGATCAGGTTTTTAAACTCACAAGGACTGAACTGAATATCACACACACACACACCTCTTTTGATGCTCTACTTGCACTATCTGGAACGTTGCTGCCAACTGTGTTTACACTGTGTTTACTCATGTACTACCTCAGTAACTGCTGTCCACTACCTCATGCTCTGAAATGAGTGCTGTGTCGGCGCTGCACTGTCCTGTCTGTTTACTGTGTCTAATGTCTGTTTAATTTATCATATTTATTGTTTCTAGTTTAATGTTTTGCACACTTATGTCTGCACGTTCGCACTTTGTACTGTCTATTTTGTTCCGTGTTGCACCGTGTTGGTCCTGGAGGATCGTAATTTCACTCCACTGTGTACTCGTACACAGATGGAATGACAATAAAAGCCTCTTGACTTGAGTCAACCTTCCAAGAGTCAGTGCATATGGCTGCTCTCCATAGCCACAACTCCTGCATGTAGTGGGGCATGAAAATTGGATCAGGCCTGGATGCTTATGCATGGAGTCAGCCTACGTAGCCTACTACATGCTTACCCTACTAACATTTAGACCCAGTCCCGTTTCACCCCTACCCCTGTTTTCGAGTGTCACCGTAACCCCTTGGAACAGAGTTACAAAGGGTAGTGGCTGAAATCTTGCCCTATGAAATGGGACCCTCAAATTAAAAAAATAATAAAATAAAAAACATTACTTCATTAACAGCTACTAGTGCTGCTCTGTAGGCGACCCGGCCCGACTTCAGTGATAGGAGAGAAGGGTAAAGTTCAGCTCCTCACTGCTGGGCTTTAGTTACATTTAGGGTAACATATGTTTTCAAAGAGGGGGGCAATTATTTATTATCACCCACCACTAATTCTTCAGTGATATGAAGCTGAAGTCAGATATTCTTGTTCGAATTTTCCCGTTCCACCTTAAATGGTGCAGCAGTTACATTCTGGCGCTTCAGGTGTCAGAACTGCTGGACTATTTAAGGTGGAACGGGAAAGTTAGCTAGCTACCGAGACATTGGCGTGCTATTAGCGATTTTTAATGCTTGTTATGAAGAAAATGACCAAAATACACTGAAACAACATTAAACTAAGATAATACAATGGTTATCGTAATTTTTTAACCAAAAAGATTCTCACATTTGTGGGTTTCTTTGGTCTCTTGTTCTCCATCTTGCCGGTTTTTCTTTTTTTTATCACATCTCTCTGTTTGAAGTCTCTGAAAAACCTCCGTTTGGAGGGTCACGTAGCTCTAACACTTCGCCCTACCCCTCTATCTCAACAAGAATCGGGACGTGAATGCACAAAACAGAGGGCTAAGGGCTCAGTGGTAGGGGCGAGGGATGAAATGGGTTTGGGCCTAAACCTACTCAAACTCAAGCCAGCAGAATACTTTAAACGACTTGGTGGTTTGAGTTGATACGCTGTGGTGTGCCCTGCTTGCTCTACAGAACTCCTGATCACCACCTTGCTAATTCTGAGAGCCCACCATCTGTGACTGTGGTTGAAAAATAAACGGCTCTTTCTCTGTTCCTCCTTTGTTTTCATTAGATCCTGGTTTGATAAGTGCAATACTACCCTGATCAACAGATTTGCAGATGCAGAAGTGTGGTTTGGCCCTGAGTCGGCTGTGGTGGAGGCAGTGGTTGGGTGCTCTGGGTCGTATTGCCTGTAGATGTAGCCCTATTTGTAATCATATCATCTGTATTTGTGTTAAACAGAAGGCATCTGAAGTAATACAGAAGAAGTATGCTGACCAAATTAGACAGAAGATCAGAGATGACAGCACCCACGATGATGAGCACTACGGAATCAGCAAAAAGGAGTACAAACTGGGCACCACACATGTGTCCGTTCTCGATGAGGATGGAATGGCTGTATCCGTCACCAGCTCCATCAACTACATGTGAGCACTTTCACTATATGAAACTCATCTCTTACAGTCAGTGCTGGCTAGAAATGGGCCACACATCATCTGGATTACATAATCTGATGTGGACAGTACAACTAGTAGCTAACGAAATGGCAAAGAGAGAGATTTAAGACGGACATCGATATTTTGGAGACGAACGGACTTATTTGCGTTTATAATCAGTCCAGCTGGTTTCCTGATACGTTTAATCTGCAGCGAGAAACTGAAACACTAAAAAGTCGCAAAGCTGAAATGTTTGAATTTTCCATTCCACCTTAAATGGTGCAGCAGGCAGACGTTGAGAGACATTTTACAAGAAACTGTTCTACTTTTAAGGAAAGGTTTCCTGCTGGAGATGTGAGAAAAGCAGCTATAGCTGAGCTAAAGCTTAAAGCAGAGCAAAGTCTGCGTTTTCTTTTATATTAGATTTTTTTTGTCTATACTAGCACATCAGCAAATACTGAGACATATTTACAGCCAAGATAGTAGTTGGAAGTTGACATAAAATGTTGTGGCCGCCAAGGTGGTTTGATTTTTATTGAAAGCCGAAATGGCTCTTCTTAACATTCGGGTTGCTGACCCGTGGTCTAGAGCGAGTTATTTGACAAAAGCTGTCTTTTGCACAGCGCGGCTGGGGCCAGCTATAGCCTTCACATTCTGCTGAGCAACAGCTAAATAGCAACTGGCTTTACTCTGCAGCTTCTAAGTTTGTACTTTCTACACATATAAAAACAAAATAAAAACTTCTGTAAAATAGTATTTGACCTGCGGCCTGTTTGGTGAGATTCTGATGAAGATGGCGCAGGACTGCATCAGATTCCAAAACTCTTGGTGATCCTAAGTGAGATTTTTGGTCAGCAGCTGAGCAACTAAACAATCTGGTGTCGGCTAGAATCCAAGAGAATACAATTCAGCAAACAAGACAGGCTGTGAAACACTTTACACACTGAAACTAAAGCACATTCAGCTTCTTCTAGAAACACTGGAAAAGCTGAGCTCAACCTGATATTCAGTTTTACGGCTTTGTCTGTGACGCAATAGGGCACTACTTCTTTGTGGTGGAAGGAATTGTCGAAATTAAAGCACATTTGATGCCATGTTTGGGGCTTCTTTGCTTTAACATTAGAGATTGTTATGGCGAATAACATGGCTGTGATGAATGGTGATGTTATTCGCAATAACAACCCCACCCCCAATGTTCTGTTGCTTAAACAGCATTTTATGCTGTATTGTTACATCCTTAATTTTTCTGTCTTGTTAGATTCGGGTCTGGAGTTTATTCAGCCAAAACAGGCATCATCCTCAACAACATGCTGACAGACTTCTGCAAGCAAATAGACAAGGTTCAACCTGGTGAGTTATCTTATATGGAGACTGTATAATAAAATTCCATAGAAACACAGCATTTCATATCTGACATAAAAGAGCTCTGCGTGTGTAGGTGAACGTCCTCCCTCGTCCACGGCTACGATGATCATTCACTCCAAAGTTACAAACCACACTGTGGTCATTGGAGGCTCAGGGGGCACGATGATCACCTATGGGATGACCACGGTGAGTTTGGGTCCATACAGACCTCAAGATGGACTTAACTGCTAAGTCAGTTGTAGTTAAAACCATATTTTAGAGAGGAATTTACAGCTGTTGCACCACCAGCACCACTAAAGGCCTTTACGCACATCCTCCATCAATCTGAAGAACCATTTCACCATAGTAATAGTGCATGTTTTTACATGGAAACATACAGTGTTATGTCTTTGTTGATTTTCTAAGTGTAATTAAGTCAGCACAGGTAACCCTTGGGAAAGAAAAGAAGAAAAGCAATAATTAGTTTGTTTTAAACAGTTGTTTTAAAGAAACGTTTTAATGGTTTAGCTGTGAAAGTATTATAAGAAAGAAGAGAAAAACTTTAGAGTTAAAAAGAACTGTATGGTTCTAAAAGGAAAAAAAAGTGTCCAAAGTTTAGTTTGGACATGCAGAGCATGTGCCCAGTGCAGTCTAATCTTATATGGGTCTTCCATTATTGATTGGATGCACACCGATCAGGCATAACCTTATGAGCCTCCCCTTGTTTCTACACTCATTGTCCATTTTATCAGCTCCACTTACTATATAGGTGCACTTTGTAGTTCTACAGTTACAGACTGTAGTCCATCTGTTTCTCTGATACTTTGTTAGCCCCCTTTTACCCTGTTCTTCAGTGGTCAGGACCCCCATGGACCCTCACAGAGCAGGTACTATTTGGGTGGTGGATCATTCTCAGCACTGCAGTAACACTGACGTGATGTGTTAGTGTGTGTTGTGCTGGTCTGAGTGGATCAGACACAGCAGTGCTGCTGGAGTTTTTAAACACCTCAATGTCGCTGCTGGACTGAGAATAGTCCACCAACCAAAAACATCCAGCCGACAGTGTCCTGTGGGCAGCGTCCTGTGACCACTGATGAAGGACTAGAGGATGACCAACACAAACTGTGCAGCAGCAGATGAGCTATCGTCTCTGACTTTACATCTACAAGGTGGACTGACAAGGTAGGAGTGTCTAATAGAGTGGACAGTGAGTGGACACAGTGTTTAAAAAGTCCAGCAGCACTGCTGTGTCTGAATGATCCACCACCCAAATAGTACCTGCTCTGTGAGGGTCCATGGGGGTCCTTGGAGTACGGTGAAGTTTCACCATTCCCTACCAGTGAGAGACCAGGAGGGTGGTTTTAGTCAGCGTGACTGGAACTCAGAGCTTGATTTAGCCTTAGCCAGGGTGGACGAGACTTCGTAAGAGCAGCATCAGTCGGGTAAAGACTAAACAATATGTGAGAGCAATTTATTGATTTAGTTTGGGACTTGTATGTGCGCTTTTGGGTTATATGTGTGTTTTATGTGTGTTCGTACTGTGCATGTGTTTAGTAGTATTTTAAGTTCTGAAAAGAAGAATCTCTGTTTTAACACTGTTTTTTGACCACATATAATCCAGCATTTATGGAGATTACTTAGACAGCCTAAAGCTGTTTAGCAAAATATTAATATTTTGTTCTTCCAAGGAAATATCCTGGACTAAAATATTCAAAGGGTTGAAAAGTTTGTTTTTCAGTGAAAACCAATAAATAAGTTGGAAAGGAAATTTTAAAGATGGTGTAAGTGTGTGTAATTCTAATTTATGCTGTAATCTAATTGATTGATCTGTGCTATTAATTCAGTAATTTGAGTTGTAAATGTGAGACAGGACAGTAACGTTGCATACTTTGGTTTGATTTTAACTGCAGAGAACAAAAGTAAATGCTTCTTCGAATCTACTTCAACTCCTTCTCTGCGGAATACCATAGGAACTTTATCTACATTTTAATGTTGATTTGTATGGGATTAATATAACCTGAGGTTATTTCTACAGCTGTTTTATAGAAGGTAAAAAAAGGGGACTGTAATACATCCAGCTGGATCAGTGGTGGTGTGTAAACATGTTCATGGCCATTTGGTTTCAGTGATTTGGGCCCTTTAAGTATAACTTAAACTATATTTAAGCAAGTGGAGGTGGATTTTGTAGTTGCTCTATCCGTGTTCTGATGTCAGTCTACCTCGTTCTACTGTTGCAACAGGCACTAATGAACTTCCTGTGGTTCGGGAAGAGTCTGAAGGATTCCATCGATGAAACCATTGTGACTGTGGACATTGAAAAAAAACTCAATTTTGAGCACAGCTTCGACAAGGTACTGAAACTAAAACTGTGAGGCCTGAATCCTGGGCCATTCAGCTTAACCAGTGGTTCTTACAATAAAGAGCAAAATGCTAATACAGTTTATGAGACATTTATAAACTCTTTACTGTGTTACTGTATTCTCTCTCTCTCTCTCTCTCTCTCATTCAGAAGGTCATCGTGGCTCTAAAAGAACTCGGGCACAGCGTCCCAGTTTTCCAGAACGCAGTCAACGCTGTATCGAAGAAAAATGGAGAGTGCATTGAGGCTGTTTCAGATGGTCGGAAGATGGGCGAAGCTGCAGGATACTGACCTCTAAAAGGGCTCCTCATCCATTTCAATCAAACGGTCAACTCCTGAATTGTTGACACCCCTAAAAAAATGGACAAAAACAATCCTAAACTAAACAGTACATTTAATGATCTAAATGTTTCTCAAAAACCGTTTACCATTAATGTAACAGAAACCATTCCAGTAAGAGAATTGCTTTATATTAAGAATAGCATATTCTTTCAAAAGCATGTGGAGCAAAATTATTAGCACCCCTAAAGAGCATTTTAAATGACATCAAAATAAAATTGCACGTTTGAGTAAAAAAATCTTTCTTGTTATTTGCTTCCACTCTCCAGGAGCTCCATTGTTGTGTGTGATATGTTAGGTATTTCCTGTTTCCCTGGAGAATAAATATGAGGCTACACACCTGTACAATCCTTTTGTCGTCCATCAACAGGGTAAAACCAAAGAGCTGTCGACTCAAATGAGACAGAAGGTTGTGGAGCTGAAAAACATATAGTAAGAGATAAATATAATGTAAACATATACTAGATATAATAGTAATAAGAGATAAAAACATGAATAGTTCAGTTGAAAGTAGTAGATCAGTAGGTCAGTTGAAATGATCTTTTAACTTGATACTAAAAAGTTTGAAAAGCAGGGACAGTTCAGGAAAAGGGCGCAGGAACGCATTGCTGTCATGTGCAATGAGCAGGCAAAGAACAGAACCGAGCTGTTATTTTACCATAACATCACAGCTTTTTCACAAACACTGTATCACTCCGCTGAGGCGCCGTTGCTAAGCAACGACTTTGACAGCTGTAGGAGACGCTCGAGCCATTTGAATGTTTTTACTTCTTACTTTGCCACAAACAGAAAACGGACACTTTTAAGATCACATTTGACCGACAGCCGATTTGGTCCGACTCTGAAGATGAGACGACACTAAATTCCCAAACTGTCATCACCACTGAGCAGCTTTTCAGTCGGCAGCTGAGACAGAAGAACAGCTGAACAACCTGGAATCAGCCAGAAATGAACCCAACACCATTCGCCAAACGTGTAGTCTGATCTTCAGAGTCTGACCAAATCAGACTGAGCCATAAAACTGACTCAATAAAACACAAAAAAGCTGCTCAGTGGTGATGACCGTTTGGGAATTTAGTGTAAGGAGCTGGAGAACGAACTGCCGGCTGTGCAGCGAGTGGGCGGAACTCGTTACTCTGACGTAGCAACGAGCTGCTCGTTAAGGAACTATAATTGGGTGAAGGAACTGCGAACATTAAAACATATTAAACGCCGCGTTCACGGCCCAGTTTATTAATTTATTACTTTATTTATTTAACTGTTGTATTAAAGCAGTAGAACACTCGAGGAGTGTGTTATCGCCAATAACATCACAGCTGTGATGATCTACGGCGACCGAATCACAGCCGTGATGTTATTTCACTATAACACACTCCCTCTGGGTTCTACTGCTTCAGTGTGTCAGTTCAAGATGTGTGTATGTGATGATGCTGTGTTATCATGTTGGGCTGTGGGGTGTGGATTAGTGTGGCTGCCATAAAGTGAAACTGTATGGCTGGAAATGACCTGCCTGCTGTGCCTGGCTGCTTTTCATGTGCCTTTTCTGTTGCTGTAAATAAAAGAGCCCACTTCAGGTGTCAGGTATAACGGTCTCTCCCCGTGTCTCCTTCTTTGCTGTTGCCACAGTATTCTCTAATACTACAGAAGTGTTGACTGACAATGTGTACATCCTTACAATACAGACACAAAAACATGTTTCAGCACCATTAATTAAGGCTGGCTACTAAACTGCATTGGCGATAGCTACAAAGCTGGGTCTGGATCGTTTGGGCTCTACATATGTATATCTATACTCCTGGGCAAAAAAATGGGCCAAGCCCAAAATATAATGGTTTTTACTGGTGGTTTTGTGTTAGAGAATATAAGCCTATAGAGAATATTTGGTCTCTCATTAAACACAAACTAGCTTGGTAATGTTTTTCAGCTGTTTTTTTGCCCAGGAGAATATATATATACTATATATCATATAATATGAGATATATATATATATGTGTGTGTGTGTGTGTGTGTTCTTTTTCATTCTTTTTGAAAAACATAGATATGATAAAAAGCGCTGATTAGCCCTATCTGAGAACTGTGTGGGCGTGGCTAATGAGCAGCTTGATTGACAGCTCTCTGTCCAACACTTCTAGCCAGCTCCGCCCCTCATACAGAACTAACATCATTATCCAGCTTTCATGTGACGCTAACTGGACAACAAAGTCACAGACAGTGAATGGGCGACAGGCAGCTACAGACAGGTCGTCTGGCTTGCTGGCTTTTGATTATACTAGGTTAGTTTTAGCTCACTAAGCTTCCCTGACTCTGAAATATTTGGAATATTTACGGAAGCGTTACCCGAGATTAGGACCACACAGTTTACACTGAGAGGAGAGAAATATAATGACATATATCGGTCAGTTATGTATTTATATTTATATATAAATATATCAGTCTGCAAGAACCAGATTAACCTGTTTAGAGAGAAAACAGATTTGGGTTCCCCTGAGTCTTTAAGCTGTACAGCTGTTAAGGCTCAGATCAATTATAACAAGAACTACTTGGTATCTGAACAGCACATATTGTAGTACTATTTAGATGCTTAAGGGGCATACCACTCATTTTTCAAAATTTCTTCATATTTCAGTGTGTGAGATGTAACAAGATGGCAGCAGATGTGCATCGCGAATCTCAGCGTCTCACCAGTTTTAGCAATATAGTGATTTTTTACCTAACAATCTCTTGCGTTTTCACTCAACTCACTCATGCAAACTTCAGATACGTCAGACAGACACTGCTTGATATTAATCATCGCTGCACAAACAACATTTTGGAAATTCCATTAGATTTCAACCAGCTAGACAGAGCGAATCATTCATACCGACTGGAACAGCCTGGCACCGACCGTGAGACCGTAAACAAAGAAGGGGTAAGCGCAGAGGTCTGCGTGCTAAGCTAAGGCTAAACCCACAGTGGCCAGTGCTACCTAGCATCTTCCTTGCCAATGGAAGAGTTGATAGGTCAGCCACAGCTTTGGGTAAGGTCAGCCACAGCTTTGGGTAAGAGCCGCAGTGGTCGTGTTTGTATTAATGTAAATAAAGCATGGTGCACGGACTCGGTCGTGGCTGATGCCCACTGCTCTGCAGATTTAGAGATTCTGATTATTATGTTCAGACCCTTTTATATTCCACATGAGTTTACCTGCATTGTTGCTGCTGCGGTTTACGTCCCCCCAGACGTTAATGCTAATGTGGCTATGAAAGATCTTTGTGCTGCTATTAGCAAACTGCAAACTGTGCACCCGGACGGAGGCTTTATTGTTGCTGGGGACTTTAATCACAGCAATTTGAGATCTGTACTTTCAAAGTTTCATCAGAATGTCTCCTGCACCACAAGAGGACAAAGAACTTTGGAAAACGTTTACACCAGTGTGGCTTACGCCTACAAAGCCACACCACTCCCCCACCTGGGACAGTCTGACCACCTCTTTGTTTCAGCTCCCCAGTCATCAACCTTGTGAAACCCACAACAAGATCTGTGAAGATCTGGATAGAAGGGGCTGAATCCTTGCTTCAGCACAAGTTTCAGCAAACAGACTGGAGTGTGCTTGCAACCCAGGCCACCACACAGACACTGACATCTGCACCAACTCTGTCCTGGATCATATCAACGGCTGTGTGGAGAGAGTGACAACTCACAAAATAATAAAGACTTTCCCTAACCAGAAGCCCTGGATGAACAGAGAGGTTTGCCTTCTGCTCAAAGCAAGAGATGCTGCCTTCAGGTCTGGAGATTAGGAGGCTTAGAGCTCAGCCAGAGCCAACCTCAGAAGAGGCATCTCAAAGGCTAAACACTGCTACAAACAGCGGATTGAAGAGCACTTCAACTCCTCTGACCCCCGGCATATGTGACAAGGCATGCTGTCAATTACTCACTTTAAACCACCCAGCACTGTTCCATTACCAACCTGTGCCTCACTCTCCGATGAGCTCAACCACTCCTATACTTGCTCTGAGCAAAGTGAATGCACAAAAGGCAGCTGGCCCTGATGGAGTACCTAAAAGCCTGTGCTAAGCAGCTGGCTGGGGTCAGACATTTTCAATCTGTCGCTGGCCTAGTCGGTTGTCCTGACTAGCTTGAGCTCTGAATGACTGCCGCCCTGTCGCACTCACCTCCATCATTTCCAAGTGTTTTGAAAGACTAGTACTTTCACATTTGAAGTCCAGTCTGCCTGCTACACTGGACCCACACCAGTTTGCCTACTACTGCAATTGCCTACTACTGCACATGACTGGGTATAAAAGAGTATTTTAGAGAGGCAGAGTTTCTCAGAAGCAAAGATGGGCAGAGGTTTGCCAATCTTCGAAAAACTGTGTTTAAAAATTGTGGAACAATTTCAGAAAAATGTTTCTCAATGTAAAATTGCAAAGACTCTGGATATCCCATCATCTACAGTACATAATATCATCAAAAGATTCAGAGAATCTGGAGAAATCCCTGTATGCAAGGCCGACAGTCAGTATTGGATGCTCATGATCTTTGGCCCCTCAGGTGGCACTGCACTGAAAACAGATTCTGTACTGGAAATCACTGCATGGAACATAGTTTGCCGTGCAATCCACAAACACAAGTTAAAGCTGTATCATGCAAAGAAGAAGCCATATGACAACACAATCCAGAAACGCTGCCGTCTTCTCTGGGCCAAAGCTCATTTAAAATGGACTGAGGCAAAATGGAAAACTGTTCTGTGGTCAGATTAATTAAAATTTGAAATTCTTTTTGGAAACCATGGACGCCGTGTCCTGCAGACTCGAGAGGAGACGGACCATCCAGCTTGTTATCAGTGTACGGTTCAAAAGCCTGCATCTCTGATGGTCTGGGGCTGCATTAGTGCCTATGGCGTGGGCAGCTTACACATCTGGCTCTATCAACGCTGAACAG